TGTATATCTATCGATATCCTAAGCATTGGTGAGCTGAACTGGACTAGTATTAGCCATTTGAATCTGACAACCACATGGTTTACTATGCCAGGAATAACAAATTGACAAGGAATGGCATCACATTCATGATGAAAAAAAATTTATCAACATCAGTCATGAAGTACTACATTGTCTGTGATAGGATAATATCCATAAGTGACATCAACAAGACCAATTAATATGACTATTATTCAAATTTACGTAAAAACCACTAAAGCCAGTGATGATGAAACTGAAGAATACTATCAACTTCTTAAGTCTGAAATTGATCAAACATGCAATCAAGATGTACTGATAATTACTGACAACTGGAATGCAAAGGTTGGAAACAAAGAGGAAGATCAGTAGTTAGAAAAAAAGGCATTGGTGATAGAAATGATGTTGAAGATCGCAAGAAAGAATTTTGCAAGACCAATAACTTGTTCACTGCAAAAACCTTTTTTAAACAACATAAAAGATGACTAAACACATGGACCTCACCAGATGGAATGCACAGAAAGCAAATTGACTACATCTGCAGAAAGAGACAATGGAAAAGCTCCATATCATCAGTGAAAACAAGGCCAGGGGCAGACTGTAGAACAAACCATCAATTACTCATATGCAAATTCAGACTGAAGCTGAAGAAAATTAAAACAAGTCCATGAGAGCCAGAATATAACCCTGAATAAGGAGCTCTGGTAGCGTAGTGGTTACGAATTGGGCTGCGAGCCGCAAGGTCAGTAGTTCGAAACTACCAGCAGTTCCGCAGGAGAAAGATGAGGAGGTCTGCTCCCGTAAAGATTTACAGCCTCAGAAACCCTGTGTAGGGTCACTATGAGTCCGGAACAGACTCCACGGCACATCACAACAACAACATATCCCACCTGAATTTACAGATCTGAAGAAAAGATTTGTTGCATTAGACACTGAAGACCAAAGAGCGTAAGAGTTGTGGGATGACAGCAAGAACATCATATGGGAAGAAAGCAAAAGGTCATTGAGAAGACAAGTAAACAAAAAAATGGATGTTAGAAGAGACTCTGAGACTTGCTCTCCAAATGCAGAGATGTTAAAGCAAGTTGAAGAAGTAAAGAGGTAAAAGAGTTGAACAGAAAATTTCAAAGGTCAGTTCCAGAACACAAAGTCAAATAATATAACAAAATGTGCAAAGACCTGGGTTTGAAAATTAAAAGGGAAGAACACGCACAGCATTTCT